CTAAAGAAACCTTGCGTTGGGAGGGGAGCTGGGGGAGCGGGGGGCGGTGGGGGGGAGCTAGCAAAAAAGTAGAATTACTCGAAAAATGCAAGAAAATGAAAGAATAAGTACCTTTTTGGGGGGGAGCTGAGGGGGAGTGGGGAGGAAGTGGGGGAGCGAAACGTCGCTCTCACTCTTGCGACTATATAATATAGGAAGATATATTTATATATACACATATAAAATAACTCGTTAAATATTTCTCTCGTAATCAATGAGCATAAATGTATATTTTGTGCGTAAAATACCATTAAAATCATATTTAAGAACATTTGCACAACGCGTAGTTTTTGTGATTAGATAAAAATTTTAATTTGTTAAAAAAGCACAACTTATTATTAATGTTTGAATACTGACTTAATAGGAAGTCTTATTTAATAAGACACAATTTTTATAATAATGATTTGTATAATGTAAATTAACAAATAATGTCCCGGGGCGCTTACTAGCCTCTTTAATAAGTAATAACATTTTAAATAATAGCACTAGCACAATCACCCGATGACCCAGGGCACTTACTGTTTCCACTCTAATAAATAATTAAATGTTAATAATAACACAAGCGCCCACGACCCAATAACCTGGCACGCTTAATGGCAACTCTCTTAAAAAAGAAAATGTACAATTATAATTCCCGTTTATAATATTTTACGCAGAGGCTGTAGGGATCTACAAAAAGAGTGTGAAAGTTTCTCGGAGTCTGGATCAAAAATGTTTCAAACTGTGGTACAGAATTTTAATTCATTTTGTAAGGGTTGATTAGAGAGATGTTGGGCTCCTACGGAGTGCTTGCCCGATTTCGTATGGAATTTGCAAGCATAGCTATGTTGTACGAGGATATATCTTCCTACAATATAAAGTTTTATTTATATATATGTAAAGATATTACACATAACTCTAACTACTCCCCAACTGATCCAAAAGAGCCTTACTTTGTCCTTCCACTCTCCCTCGCAGCACCCGCATTGAAGGTTAAATTATGTTGTTTATGGATCAATCTGGCCTAATTAGTTATGGATAAATATTAAATAATTACTTAATAGTAATGTGATTTGAGACATTGGTTCAACAAAATATTCACTATTTATTAATAATACTTAAACTAATACATTTTGATCTCAATAGTCTTTCAGTGGCGCTTACTGGCTACTCTTATAATAAAATGTTGAATAATAACTCAAGAGCCTATTAATTAACGACCCGGGGCGCTTACGGACACTCCAATATATAATAATCTCTAATAAAAATAAGATCTAAAATAATAACACTAGGCTTCTTTATTTCTTATGGAAGGTTAATAATTAACACGAGCGCCTATGAATGACTGACACAGGGTGCTCACTGATCACTACATTATTCATGGATCGTTGGATGATAGGCGCTTACGTTATTATTGAACATTTCATTATTTATTAGAGTAGCCATTAAGCGACCCAGGTTATGAGTTGATTGGACGAACTCCCACGCCCTTTCCATAGACCCCTACAGCATGTTGGTTTTCGGGACCATTGGGTTGCTCGCTTTGGTGCTCCCAGATACCTGACTACGGACCAGGGCTCTCAATTTGAGTCAAAGATTTTCAACGCTTATCTTTCTTTCATCGGCTGTCAGAGAAAGAGAACAGCAGCCAACCTCCGGCTGCTAATATTCTGATTAAGCGCTGGCACCAAAGCTTCAAAGCTGCCTTGATGTGTCACAACGATGCTAACTGGGTCAAATCACTGTCCACAGTCCTCCTGGGCCTTCAGACTGCTGTTCGGAATGACACTGGTGCTTCACCAGCTGAATTCCTGCTCGGAACTACTCTCCGTATTCTAGGCGAATTTTTCATCCCAGATAATTTCTTCGCTGATCCTCAAATATTTATTGAGGACTATAGAGAGCACATGCGTGAACTGAGACCAGTTCCTGTGGCTCTCCGCCACAAACCTCGTCCCTTCTTCTTCAAAGATCTGCACTCTTGTTCGCATGTCTTCCGTCGAACTCCTGCTCACAAATCGCTCGAATGTCTTTACACTGGTCCACACGAGGTGATTGAGCGCGTTTTCGATCTTGATTTCAAGATCGACGTTACGCAGTACCTTAAGTCGTTTCAACCGAGTTGCTCAAACCAGCTCATTTTTTGCCGGATGATTTAGCCTCTCCAAGACTTGATCTGTTAGTTCCTTATATCCAGCCTCCAGGGCCCATTCCGAATTAAAAAACTTATCAACCTAATTATAATTATATTATAATTAAGCTGCAAGTTAACTTAGTCCTTGTTAGTCCTAAGATACTGCGATTGTGATGTTAGTATTAACTATTAACGTTAACTCACGCCCCTTATTCTGTAGTCACAAAGCCTTATACTTCTCGTACCCGACACTATAACCAGTGACGCTGATCGATGCTTACAAACTAATTTTATACAAATTATTCAAAGTCTAGGTTCTAAGTACGCCAATTTTTTTAAGCGGCTCATTTGCAATATTTTTTCCTATAAATGCGCCGCAAGTCAGTTGCGTTTTGGCTCTCTGCCTAGATTGATCTCCGGTGTCTTAGTAGACACCACACTGTAGGCCTAAATAAAAAGTTTTTTCTGTTACATTAAACAGGACTTTTCTCTCAACCTCTCTTCCTCGAAGAGACACGCTAACGGCAGAAGTGGGACTGCCAAATCGACCCGGACAATCGGATCTTGCCCCTCGGGCACTTATCTCCACAAAAGTTTTAACAAAATGCCATATGTACACATGTATAAGTATTATGTAAGTACACGCCTGATACTATGCATTAGTCTTGTCAGTTGATTACTAGCCATTAGCCGGTAAGCGAGTACACGATACTTTTGTTAAGATGGCGAGCAATAAAGTAATAACGACACAACCTTTTCTAATGAACACATTATACATTCTTATTCAAGTATTTAGTGATTTTTCTTTTCATCCTGGCATTTTTTTCGAATCCTGAGAGCCTCGGGCAGTGGATTTAATTATACTATCAAATTAATATATTTAAAAAATATTAAAATTTCTTATTTTTTTTAGTATCAAAACAGTTATATTTTGTATTTAAGAAATTTTTATTAATATTTGTCGTAATGTTAGCAACAATACTTGGTTATAATAAAACAATATAATAATACTTCAACACTTTTTTTTTATTTACGTGCTTTAGTAATTTTTAAATGGTATTTTTTCTAAACCAGTCTTAATTTTCTATGCTGTTTTTGATTTTTAACAGCCAAGTAGATCCAGGTATTTGAAATTCTATAGTTACATCTCTGTACGACTAACTTAATTTAATGGCAGCAATTTCTAATATTAGACCTTTAGTCAACGTATTAAAGTAGAAAAACGTGTTAAAAAACTTGAATAAAGTTATCCTTATACTATTAACATAGAGAGTGGGTAGGTTATAATAACGTGTAAACGAAGGTGCCTGCCAGTGATGCTTTCGTGCTGTATGAGTCCTGACATCGTGAACAAGATATCTGATTTTTTTTTTCAATTTAAGGAATTTAGTATTTTAATATTGTAAAAAAAAACTTATTGGGAATTTGATCTCTAACATTTAATATAGGCAAATTCGTCAATTCACATAAGGTACTTTTTGTATATTTGACTGATCATTTAAAATTGCTCTAGAGTGTAAGATTTAATTTTAAAACTTTAACATTCATTTTCTTCAAAATTGAATAGTTGTAAAAAATTGTAGCGTTATGTAAAAGTAGCTTATGTGACTCTTTTGATATAAAATAATTAGGTTGATTAATTTTTTAATATTCAAGAAAAAGTTAATGACTGTTGTGATGATAAACTTCAAGACATCTAACGGTTGCAAATGTTAATTTTATGAGCATACCACACACAATTTCTTGTTTTATGTCAGTGGTTAGAAAACTAATGCCTAGCACTCTTTAGATGCAATAACAAGTCAATAACATGTCAAATTCCCCAAATTTTTTTTAACAGTATAATGAGGTAGACCAGCTCATTCAAGAAGCCAAGAAAGATCTACTATCGTTACCTTTGGGGTGATGTTAAAAGTGTCTTAACATACTTTGCTAAGTTTTTTACTCAGCAAATTTCTTTAACGTAGTTGTCACAGTTTGAATGAACATTCTGGGCCCAGTTTGGAGTAAGGATTACCATCTTTTCAGCCTAGACGATGATTTAAGAAAGCAGGCTTACATCACTAACGATGACTACGCAAAAACTGAGGAGACTTATCTAACTGCCTTTACCACCATGCTGTTGCTTCTCGAGAAGTATTCTGTGCGGATTATTTTGACTGCTGCATCGTTGTCTTAAGCTCCTTTAGTATCTGTGTCATTTTCACGCAATCGAACCGTTAAATTATTTGATCATTAGTTTTTTACAATAACATAAGGTTAAAGCTTAAGAATGATTGTGACTTGTATACTCTGGTAAGTAATAGATTAATTAAAGAAAATCAATATTGTTATAGTAAGAGAGTTAAAAGAGTATGCGCCACGTTCGATATTGATGTCAAACTTTTCAATTACTTATTAAGTACTATTTTATGTGAAACGTGTCTAATTTTTTTATAGTCAAGTACTTTACAGCAAAGAATTAACTTTAAGCTGTGTTGTTATAATGTTAATATTGTTGTAAATTAATTGAAAAGGTTGAGTTGAATCTCTGCCATCTCATTTTTTGTTATAATAAAAATGTACTTAATATTAATTAGAGGAAAGCCAAATTTAATTGTAACTAGGTTGAAGTATAACCTCTTTTTTTTACCAATTCTCGGACTAATTGAAATTTTAATTAATTTAAATTTAAATATTTGGCTAAATAGACTGTCAACCATCAAGGGATAGTGACGTCTCCACTTCTTTTCATTCTACTATTAAATCCCCTTCGGTGCTATGAAACCAATGCAAAATGGAGAATTTAGTTGAAGCTCAGAAAGTTCTGTGTGTGCCTATCGTGAATGCCTTTTTTAATTTTAGAATAAAAAGGCAAGGTTAAATGACCAAAAGGCTACTTAAGACTTTCATCGAGCAGCCTGTCTACGGCCTTTAAACAATAACGTTTAGCTGATCCTCGGTTCCTTTCAGAGGATGACATTGATATTACACTAGGCACAGAAACTTACAGTGCTCGTTTAAAAGAGATGCACCCCACGAACTTGTTGTTACAGCGTCTCAGTTAAATTGGTTGTTATCTAAGTACGTAGTTGTAAAAAATCACTCCATTACTTTGCAAACAATTTCTATAAATTGTATTTAGTTAGTCAACTCAACTGACACTCTATGGCAATTTTGAAAATTAGAAGAATCCCCTAATCGTAGGAAAATTAACCATAGAACAGAGTCCGGTCGATTAGTAGTCAGTCTTTCCTTTCATGTTATTTTGTTATTTCTTCATTCGCACTCCTTGCAAAATCAGAGTTTCTAAGGATATGTTGCTTTAAATGCTAAGAGAACCCTTTCAAGACAAGGAATTAAAGGTTGATGAGCCTTTTATAGGGTCGTGTATGTGAGTAATTAGAGTTAAATTAGATGACCAAATTCGTGCCCTCCGTTAATGATGCCTATAGGCTACTTCCTTATTACGAAGTCGTTTATAAGTCCAATTCCACTACCGAGTTACGCCTCGTGTTTAACGTATCTTCTAAGTCGAAATACTTTATAAGGCTCAATGATACCTAATTTTTGGGCCCTGATGTGTTAACTTATTTATTTGACTTACTCTTAAAGTGGCGTTACGATAGTGTTGCTTTAACAGCTGGTGTAGAGAAAATGTTTTGTCAAATTCTGGTGTAAGAGTCTGATGAGAATTATTGTACCGTTTATAAGTGTTTCAATTCGACCGAAATGTTTAAAGCTTATGAATTGCACGCTGTCACTTGTTTAGCTTGCTCTCTCGTTCTAGCCATAAAAGTACTGAATTAGTTAGATCATGACGGTCTAAGAACGCTTCCCTGAGGAATCCAAAGCTTAAAATCGTGACGTCTATTTGGATGATGTTTTGTCCAGTACTCTTTCAGAAGTAGAAGCCAAGACTAAGATCTCAGAGTTTAAAGCTCTCACGACAGAAGGAGGGTTCCATCTTTGACAGTGGGATTCTAATAATCCTTAATTTATCCAGATTTTGGATCCAGATTTAGTTAATACCGAAAACATCTTGCTGTTTCAACAAAACGATTGTTTGTGTGCCAAGTAACCAAACTGTTTGATGCCTGTGGCTTGTTATCTTCAGTGATAATTACTGCCAAAATTATAATGCAATCCTTATGAGTTTCAAAACTGGGTTAAGACAATCCTCTCTCTAATTTTCAAGCACAGCCGTGGTTGCTTTGATTTATCAGCCTTCTAAGCATGAAAAAAATTAAAATTTCTCGCTGGAATTATAACGGTCCGTAATACTCGTGAATGGAGCTCCATGGTTATTTCAATGCTTCGTAATTGGCTTATGCTACTGTATTATATCTGATGCCGTTTATAAAAATCAGGTGCGAGTTTCTTTGCAGTTAGCAAAAACTAAAGTCACTCCTCCAAAAACTGTAAGCATTCTCAGACTAAATTTGTGTACTGCGCACCTTTTGGTAAAAAAGCTGCATATTACATTCAGGAGATGAGATTTTCTGTCGGTTTGCTTTATTTGTAGACTTATTTCCGAGATATATTGCATTAGTTATATAAGTTTCTTTCCAAGTAGCCAATTTTTGTAGTCAATCAATGTGCCGATATTCAACACTGAATCCCGAAAGCTAATTAGCACCACGTTCCATGAAAACACAACCTTGCTGATATTGCTTCCTGAAGAATTAATCTTGATCAAGCTCTGTGTTTGAGCGATGAAATAAAGGACCTGATCTTTCATACCAGCTTGACCCCTTCAACTCGAAGTTCATTGATTTGTTTAAACTGACTACCCCAATTGGATTTTGTTGATTAATTTCTCCAATTCTGTAAAATTGTCAAAAGTCACCGTTTATTGCTTCAGATTTAAGATCAAAGTCTTGCGAGAATTATACAAACTTAAAGGGGCAGTAGAAAAGTTTCTAAAAGACTATCCACTATGTTGTTTTAATGTCTTCGACCAGTCTAGCTATCCTATACTAAGCGGTATTAAAATTCAAAAAGCAAGGCTTTGTTAGATCGTGGTTCATCAGAGCCACATCGTTCGCTTCGAATTAAAGATTTTTCAAGATGACCTCAAATTACCACTTGATCAACAGAAATCCTTACTTGCGGATAGTAAAATATCAAAACTTGACCCTCTTCTAGACTTGGGTTTGATACAAGTAGGAGAAAAACTTAAAAATTTTGTCTTAAGTTTAAGCACTGAGTATCCTTTGGTCTCGTTTCTAGATAAGCTATTAACGGCATTAGTTATATGTCTTATACACGTTAAATGCTTACACAGGGGACCAAGAATCTTGATTACTGGGGAATTTCGGAGACTACTGTTGAATCTGCCAAACTTTATTTAAAGCTCGTTATTGGCGATCAAACTCTTACCTTTGCCTGTTATATAACTCTACTTTGCCGTATCAAAGCTTTGCTTAACATGTGTTCTCTAGTTCTGATTATAAGCAACGAGTAGAGTCTCGACATAATTACTCCCGCTTTTCTGATAATTTACAAAAAACCTTGTATTATTCCTTAGAGGGGGGAGAGTTTCTTCAGTTAGGAGTTAGTAGAATAGATAAAAGAGAGCGCGTGCTCTGTTTAAGCTCGAAAAGAAAGTTACTTTTAGCTTAAGCAGGCCAGGGTGTCTTTAACACAGCAAGCCAGCGCTTGCAGTTTTTCGTGTGAGAGGAAGGTTTCTTTCAAAAGATTTATATTTCAACAGTGTTAAGTTACGCCAACATCTCCAAATAAATCTTGTCATAATTCTTGTGCACAGGAAAGCTTTCTTGTTAAATTAGTCATTTAATTAAGCTACAATTTTAATAAGTAACAGTTTCTAAATGGTTAGAATAATGGAATAGTGACCTGAATAATTCATACAAAATTTGAGTAAATCAAGAAAACTTAGAAGTGTTTAAAGTGTAAGTAATAATTAAAAGTAATTTTAGCTATAACAAAACTGTGGTTATTACTATAGTGCAAACTTATACTTTACATTTAATTTTCGTTAAATACAACGACAGATATTAATTTCCCATTATTTTGCATTTGTTAAAAATTTTGCTCTTAACGCTGAATTCAGTATACAAGGAATATTTAAGTCGTAAATTTCCGTAGTCTCGAATTCATCTCGGACGCCACCGAGCAGACTTTATCTGAAAATAGTTTCAGTGTGGATTTTACTGATAAGAGCTATATTCATTTTGGTGGCCAAGAATACTTTTTTGAGCAGTATGAGCAGAATTGAACAGTAAAGATATTTACATTTAAGTAGTGTCTATTTATGATAAAGACTGTATGAGTGTGTAGATGGTTCGAAGATGGTGCACAGATTTTCTTTACGGACGTGCAGAATTTCACGATGAGTAGGGAGCTGGACGCCTAAAAAGTGCCATTACAGACGATGCGATTGCAGCGGTTAAAAAAATTGTTCAAAAGTACGGACGGTAGATTATTAACGATATTTTGAAATGATGCCTCCTAAGTGTCACTCTGAATCTTATTACTACTTAACATTTTTTGAGTAACAAAAAAGAATAACCAAACGTAATTCACAATCGGACACGCGTTTTACTAGTAACACTAAACTTCATGATAATCAAGCTTGTATTACTTAAAAAAGTATTCTTGGCCACCAAAACTGATTCCGCCATTATTGGTAGCATCTACACGAAGACTATATTTAGATATAGTTTGCTAGATAACATCTGAGTGAAACGCCACACTAGAGAAACTTACTTTTTTAATACCCCTCATGAATAGTAGCCAATAGATAGAGTGTAAATAAGTCTGATTCTGATAAGGATTGCTTGTATATATTCGTATGTAGTTTTATTAGTTTAAGATAATTTAACTTAAGTAGTTTTTCTGTTGATAATGTTATCAAGCCATGTACGTGTCCACAAGCAAAAACTGACAATTATTTCTGCTTGAAGCTTTACTAACAGTTATTACTATGTATATTTACAGTATTGAAAATAATCGTTATTTTTAAATCGCTAAAACCATTGAAAGATAAATTTCCTTTATAGTTCCCGAACGTTAATTAAAGGATCCCCGCGTTTGTCAAGTATTTGGTTTGACCATAACAAAATCTTTTTTTTAAAAGTAAGATTTAAACTATGTGTAAGTCGTCAAAATATTAAAGAAAATTGACGTTAACACACTATATTTTTATTGTTGTCACTATCAAAATTTTTTTCATACAATGATGTTGGTTCTGGTAAACTTAAATCTTCACAAGACATGTATTCAGACTTGCAAATTTAGTTTAAATGTAACAAAGCTTTATTTTTTTCATTTTTCCAATCTGCTATAAAAATTTTTCTCAATTTGTTTCAAATTATTTAAACTGAAAAATTTTCAGATATAACGCACCATGCACAAAATTTGTGAAGTTAAAGAGGATGCATAATGTTACATCCTCCTTACAGAATATTGACGATTTTAGAAGCGTGCTGTACTTATCCTATAAAAATAGCTGTTTCTTCAAAATTATCGTAGGTGATATTTTTAATAGTTTTTAAGTCTGTAATAGACGTTTCTTACTTAATTTGTTCAATACTAATTTTTTAAAAATCTTTTCTGATTATTTGGAGAAACAACTTTTAATATACGAATCGTTACTTTTTATCCTATACATTTTCGTTCGTTCAATGGTCTTGTCGTATTATTAAACGTTAATTGTTAAGAAGTGTTGACATATCAAATTGCATTTGCCCTTTCATTAAGTATGCTTAATTTAAACTATAGTGCTAAGAGCGTTTTCTAATTCCTAAGCGATTCTTCAATTTTTCTTTCTTCAAAAATTATTATAATGAAGTCTACCGTAATAAAATAATTTTTGAAGCCTCCATGCTGCTTCCATTGGGCTTAGATAAAGACCATCAATAAAGCGCAATATTTGATCAAGTGTTTTTTAATCAGTATCTTTTTCAATTCCAGTTTGACTTTGTTACTGTACTTTATTAAAATACTTTATTATTTTCTCTAATTAATTGAAAAGGTTGAGTTGAATCTCTGCCATCTCATTTTTTGTTATAATAAAAATGTACTTAATATTAATTAGAGGAAAGCCAAATTTAATTGTAACTAGGNAGTCCCAAGATATTTCGATGACATGCAGCTTTGACTTAAATCAACAAAAGTAAAAATTTCTTACATACAAATAGTACATACTGCAGCTAATATCAACGTAAGCTTAAACATTTTCAGTGCGAAGTCACACAAAGTACAAATCGTAATCACTAAAATGAAAATCTATAAACACATTCAACAGCGATTCTGTTTAGCTAATATTTTATCTCATTCACAAATTATCGATGTGTAAGAAATACAAATGGAATCGAATAGTATATTGTAATTTAGTCGTTAAACTGCAAATATTTGAAGTATACTTATACTTATTTAAGTTATATACGTTTTCGTAAGCCTAAAAGTGCACAAGTAAGGTTATGATGAGACTAATTGTCATTACAATTAATGTTTTACCAGGATAACGTCGTTGTCAAGGTTCTTTTTTACTTGTAATTGTAGCTCTATAACTTTTAGCATTAGGAAAATCGAAGAATAAATGTACTTTTCTGAATTTATTAGACTGATAAAAACTTTCACTCTCTGTGCAATAAATGTGAATTGTTAAGTTTCCTACAATATTTTGAATAATCGTTGAACCTATCGGCAGCAACTGTATGATACGAGCACCAATTAATTTATAGATATTATTTTTACGAGAACTATCTTTTAAAAGCCAATGCCTAACTCTTTTTTGTATAGATGCGAGTATACATATAACATGATAATCTTACCAATTTTTTCTTTACGTTTTAAGTATATGCACGATAAATTCTAACTTTTGCAAAAAATATATACAAGTGGTTTCAAGTATGCAGGTTGTGCCCCGTGATACAAGTCAGCTGCAGACAATACTCTCCTTACTTTATCGAGTGGCGCGCGGTACGGTACGAAAAACTCTCTATATTTATTGATTAAATACTTACTAACAGAAAAGCCGTCCTATTTTTTTATTAGCTATGTCATCGTGAAAAAACCTCAGCTTTCTTAAAATTGGAAAATACAGATATAATACGTTTTGTACTTTTTTAAAGGTAGAAATAAAAAATTTTTTTTATCTTATGCAACCAACAGAAAGCTAGGGTAAAAATACATCTTATGATATATAAACCTCATTTTTTTTGTGACGCTTAAGCCTCGAAAAAGCAGTGTGAAAAAGACATGCTTTGACTCTTGCGCAGATGGCTGGGGCAATTAACGTGCTTTTCCTCATACGTAGAAGAGCTTTATCAAATTTTATTCCCATGTACTACGTACACTACGTCTGCAGTTCTATTAATATGTTGTTACATAGCTAAACTTACGAATAGCTGAAAAACACAGTTAGAAAAACGAGGTGTGCTCACTTAATAAATTAATCTTAGAATTATCCATAGAAATATAAAAAATAGACTGCTTATTAAAAGATGAGAACTCCTGACAAGGTCATTTAACCTCATTAAAAAAGAAAGAGAAGTGAAAGGCAGGTAGCCAGTCAGTCCTTTTGTGTTCTACTCTCGTAGAATAAGGGCATTGTAAAGAACTACACAGAGTGTATTCTGCAAACACTGCCAGCAGTGGATTTTTTTAGCCTTAGCCTTAGGCCTTGGCTCTTAATCAATAAATATTCTAGTCATCACTCTAGTGTCACAGTTAGCTGCAAGTGTTGTAAGTCTTGTTTGCTCCAAGAAGTTTCTACTGCAAAACAAAGTTGTTGCGCTGTTTCACTAAAAATATTCTGGAGAGAAACGCGAATTTCAACTTCTGTATGTACATTATAGGGTTATATGAGGCAATTTTTCATTTTTTTTTGTATTTTTGTATCATACAGTAAGAAGGGTTAATATTACATTTTCTAATACGCAAATCCCTGACTAGAGCTACATACGACTTCTTACTAAAATTATGTTCGCAGTAAAACGCAAGTGCCGATGTAGGAGAATGCCTGTATTCTGCAATTTCAGTACTTGGCTGTACAGTATGATCTTCAACTTCCATCTCTTCTATATAGTAATCTGTTCGACTTATTTCTTCATGTGTATTATTTTTAGCAAGATAAATTTGGCATAACTTTACTGCTAATTTCAACAATTCGATATTATATTTGACATATTCTAACACTTCGTTGGCTTTCCTACATAAGGTGCTCGAACTGGCCTTTTCTGTTTCAATACGTGGTCGTCCTTCTTTACCAGTACCCTTCTTCGCTGTCGGGGGATGTCCTTTTAAAACTTTTTTCTGTCTACTTTTTTGGTTAGTTGGGTAGCTTGGCATTCTATTTGTAAGAGAAATTTAAAAGTTACTCTACAATTATTGACATATACGAAATGGAAGACAGTGATTTCATATAGGTAAAAAAAACAGCAATTGTGAACGCCCATTCAGTATATCATATAAAATTAATATACCGACTAATTTACGTTATTTACGTTAATAACAATATTCATTGAATTCAAATGGAGAGAACACAGTTTCAACTGAAAATCTTTATCGTAATATTATCTAGTTCTTACATTTATTTTTCTCTCACTATACGCATATCATCGAAATAAAGTTGTGCTTGCTTAGTTGTTCTAATTACCAGCTTCGTTCATAAACTCATTTTATCACGTGAAAATAGCTGTTCAATAAATCATTGGAACGAAGTAGTCAGTGGATCAAAAAATGTAAATGATATACTGATTTTTCTCAAACTATTTATGAACATTTAAGTTTCATTTCATAGGCACGAGACCTTTCGTTGTATAATTAAAAGTAATTGCAATAAATTTTGTCCTGATTTATTTTATTTCTTAAAGCATTTTTATTGAGCATTTGCAATTTTTTTCGTTATAATACACATCTAACTGTTGATTAATAGAATTATTTATAGATCACTTGAGTTTTTAAAAAATACAATTTTTCTGTAAGGGCTTAACATCGATATAAAGAGTCCTATGATATTTCGATGACATGCAGCTTTGACTTAAATCAACCAATGTAAAAATTTCTTACATACAAATAGTACATACTGCAGCTAATATCAACGTAAGCTTAAACATTTTCAGTGCGAAGTCACACAAAGTACAAATCGTAATCACTAAAATGAAAATCTATAAACACATTCAACAGCGATTCTGTTTAGCTAATATTTTATCTCATTCACAAATTATCGATGTGTAAGAAATACAAATGGAATCGAATAGTATATTGTAATTTAGTCGTTAAACTGCAAATATTTGAAGTATACTTATACTTATTTAAGTTATATACGTTTTCGTAAGCCTAAAAGTGCACAAGTAAGGTTATGATGAGACTAATTGTCATTACAATTAATGTTTTACCAGGATAACGTCGTTGTCAAGGTTCTTTTTTACTTGTAATTGTAGCTCTATAACTTTTAGCATTAGGAAAATCGAAGAATAAATGTACTTTTCTGAATTTATTAGACTGATAAAAACTTTCACTCTCTGTGCAATAAATGTGAATTGTTAAGTTTCCTACAATATTTTGAATAATCGTTGAACCTATCGGCAGCAACTGTATGATACGAGCACCAAGAAAATACACAATACTTACTTGCCGATATTTACTAATCACTTATATCCACGATAAAAACTCTTCTACTTAGCACACACATTACACGACTGTCTTACGGGAATACTTCTATCTTCTTACGTTTGATAAACAAAACCTTTTGAGAGTTCTCAAAATCTATTTGGCACGTATCCTAAAATTCTGCCATAACTATGTGTAATACAAACAGTAGACTAGAGCTTACAACAGTAAGCCCCGAATACGTAAATTATGAGAATCAATAGAATAAGTTTGTTCGGAATGCGTGGACCGGATAAAACAAAAATGGTAATGCACTTTGCTTGAGTTTAATACATTCACCTATTTTGGCGCCCGGTGTAATACGCAAATAAGTGTACCTCCATGTCAAGGCTTAGTAACTGAAGCTATAAGCCATGTAACTACTCCCTGTTTTCTCTATGGCTGCACATAACAATAATATTTAAAAAAGAACAAAAAAGTATTTTTAAAACACGAAAAAAATTTCCAAATACCACATGAGTATATAGGTTATTTTTTTTTTATATCATTCATTAGTTATTTATCACTCCCAGCCACAACACTTACACTTCTGAAAACTTACTGGAAAAAATAATTTTTTTTTGGAATTATGCTTGATTTTGACAAAAAAGTCACTTTTTAAACGCCATTTCGATACCTTATTTAAAAAATGAAGAATATATGTAAAATAAATATAAAGGTATAATACCAGCTCCAACCGAAATAAAAAAAAAATTAAATTGAAAAGTTTCTGAAATAATCCGAAATTTGTAGGTTAGGATTTCATTTTTTACATTTCTCCTTAATTTTCTGTTATTCCTTGTCATCATACCTATAAGATCCAAAAAATTTCATGAAAAAATATTTCTTCTAAGGAATTTTACATAGTTTTGAAACGAAAAATATCAGTTTATCCCACTGTGCGGCGGTAGCAGTTTGTTGTCTATTAACTATTGGTAAGAGTTTAAAATCTGCCATAAATTTGAACGAAATATTATTTAGATCTGTTACGTCAACCAAAAGTTTTAAATTGTCCTAAGATTCTTTTATTTGTGGAACGATGCATAACAATATTAATTTGTCTACGCTAGTAAGCGTACCTCATTAACCAAGAGTTATACTTTTTGAATGTAATGATCTGTTTTCACATTTATACAAATCATTTGAGTTGAGCTGTTTTCCGTATCATTAGGATTTAACTGCGGAGAGTCGTTTTCAGGAAGAATTTTCAAACTTATTTAAAAAAAACCGTGACGTCTGTCAGCCATAACCTTGACAGTACAATGTCCATTTACTTTTCTTTTCTCTATAACTGATTCAAGTAAATATTCAGCATTAGTATAGATAACAGACCGTTGTTGTTTATTTTATGAGTTTTTACAGTCAAAACTTTGAAAGCTAACTTCATGAATATCTTTTAATGCATTTGATTTTTTTGACATGTTGATCATAATTTTTAGGATTCGGTTTTCTATTTACATTGCACCTTTAAAAAGCCATAATTTTTCTCTTCTGATTGTGCGATGCCCCCAATTTAATCGAAAATCATCCAAACTGTTTTCTTTAAAAGATAATGGTTTATGCATAGTGTCATAAACAATTAACTTTCTTTACCGACCACCAATCGCTAATATTAAGATTATTCATTTGAAGAGCAGAATCACTTTTATTTTTTATAATCGAACTAACGACCTCTTCTTTATTTTTATCGGGAAGCTGTTGAACAAGTTTCAGTAAATTATCTTTATAGCTCTTGCAAGCATGGCTCATACCTTTTCCTATTTCTTGAAAACATTTACTACAGAGCTTAATAACATTGCTAGTGGTTTCTACTAGACTGGAAGCTTCTTTTTTTTCCACGGACTTTTTACATTGCCCTGGAAAGTCTACGTTAGTTTTTAGTTTCCTGAAATGTCCTCTGACTTTCTTTACATTGACGTGCCCAAAAGAAGTGGCAGTAAAGCATATGTAAGAATTACAAGTGTCTTTTGCACATCGTGTCTCTTTCAGTAGAACCATTTTGTTGTTATCAGGCATAATTTGTATATGCCTGTTGAATATTTTTTTTTCAAAATCAAGAAGTGTTAGATAGCATGATCTACAAATACCTGAAGAATATTTTCATTTTGTAAATCAAAATTCTTTGACACATCCTTTTCATAAGATTTGCCGTTTTATCATTTATTACAAACTTTTCCAACTTGACTTTACTAAAATTAATTTTTCTGCCCCACGGAGCGTATATCTTTTTCCTATTCTCATTATAAGAACATTTACTACCGTTACCCATACTAAAGGTAGAATAAATGTATAATGACAACGACTTTTAGAAATCATCCTTCGTTGAATTTGTAAATTTAATTACACTCAAACCTGTTGTACCGAACGCTGTTGGTAGTAGTTGTCCTCTGATACTCTTACACGCTGTATTTTCAAAGTATTGTTAAGCTCTATTGCATCTATGTGTATCTTACGGTGTTTCATTTATTATACAAGTTAAATTTTTTTATGTACGCCATCTAGTGGTAGCAAACCACATTCATACATCGACACTCATAGTTAAAAAAATTAAAATTTTAAATTTTAATCACCAAAAATATAAGAATGCAAATATCTCGCGAAAGGGAGCAGCTAGGATTTTTAGTTCGACTGATTTTTCATGAACAAACAATATAGAAACTTTCTGCATTCACAGATTTTGGATCCACTTTATTCAAACTTTTAGAGCTTTCAAGCACACCATGGCTCTATGAATTAAAAATTCATGCTTTTTCTTGCATGTATTGCAAGATGTATCAGATTCGCAATCCTTGAATTCATAAGGTCTTAAACAAATAAGGCTAAGCTTACTTTTAGCATGGACTAACTGCTTAATTTTTCAGGGCTTTGATTTAAAACTTTCACATTGGCGAATATGATGATCACTATTGCAGCAAGGACAATTTCGTATCGAATTAGTCTGATGAAAGGCAGAAACATTAGCAGTCTTTTCGTTCGACTCAAGACCCTTCACAGGTTGAGAGACCTAATGTGGCTTTAACCGGGGAGTGTACGGCTCTAAAGCAATTAACTAATTGTTTAAAAATCTTACAAACTGCTTAAACGTAGGAGGTGTCATAGAACTGCATAAATGCTTCTGCCAATCTTTGACTGTTCCAAAGTCTAACTTGTTGGATACCAACCCGATAAATAGATCACCAGACAGGTGTTCAGCTTGACTACGGCTTTCAAGAGCTGACAAGGGTCTTGAAGTTTGACTAATTAACTGTTAAAGCTAGAGAGTGAGACTATTTTTCATTGAGTTGGCGTTAGTAATCAAGTTAACATAACCAGAAACTAACCTTTTCTTATCATCGTAATAATTAACTAACGCCGTCTAAGTTTGTTGATAATTTTCAGCGTTAAGTGGAATATTTTTTATAAGAATCGCCGCTTCACTTTTGACTTGGGTATACAAAAAGGAATGTTTTATTACGAGAATAATTTTGATTTTATCATGTGCTAACGCCCTGAAAACATCGCAAAAGTTTTACCATTCCTAGCGATCACTGGAAAAATGCAACATGTCAATATTTGGAGGGCTTAAAGCAGCAGAAAAGGATTCTGCTAGATTGGAGTTAATAGGTAGTTAAGGTGTCTTAAGACTAGCCAAAAAACTATCAATTCTTTAAGATTATCATAATAATGAACTTCACTTTTAACAAAAACGTTCGATTTGAAGTAATCGCGTTGAGAGTCAAGATTTGTTACCCACATCCGCCGCGCTATCCACGTCCACTTGGTTGCTCGAGACATGGCTCAAGTCGAAAAAGAAGCATGAAAAATAAAATGCCAAGATGACCGACCAGCAGGTGCAATCTTGTGCCAGCACCAGATTTCGCCTCCAGCTCCCGATTCGGCTTAAAGGACCTAATGTTTGGTTAACTAGAACTCTAGTGTACTGTATAAATGAATAAAAGAGTGGTCGAGCTAGGAGGAGCGTAGAAAGCAGTGATTTAGAATTACTTGAATAGAAAGATGTTGACAGAAATGGATGATTGGATCTAGACTTGATCCGTTATATTGATCCGTAAGATGTAAAAACGGCGTTCCTGAAAGGAAAGATAGACTACGAGGTTAACATGGAAATCCCTGAAGGGTACGAAAGCTCGATAGAAACCAAGAAAGATAGAGTATGCAAAATAAAACGTGCCCTGTATGGCTTAAAAATCAGCCCAAAATGTTGGAATGAGAAATTCAGGGAAGTAGCAGTGAAACTTGGTTTAAAATCCCACGAGCTTGAACCTTGTCTGTTTACGTGGAGAGGAAACGACAGCTTTTTAATGCTCCTACTGTATGTCAATGACATACTTATTGCCAGTAATAATGTTAGTAAGTTGGATGAAATGAAATCAATGTTAAAGTTAGAATTTGAAATAACTGACATGGGAGAACCTAAAAAATTCTTAGGAATGAATATCAAGCGAGACAGATGCAATCACACTTCAACACTCACTCTAGAGGAGTACATTGATAAAATGTTGAAGCGCTTTGGTTATAGTGAGATGCATCCACAAAAGACACCTATGATTACGAATCAGGTGAGAAACAAAGAAAGGCGAGATAGAGAATAGCTAGATGATGAAACAAAAGAGCAAGCTAGCAAGCAGTTAGATATAAATCCAAACAACAAAGATCTGTACAGAGAGTTAGTGGGATCTCTCTTGTACTTGGCCAACACGGTTCATCCCAACATAACATATGCAGTACATGTTTTGAGTCGACACCAAGTCAGTCCCACAGAGAATGAATGGAAAATGGCAAAACGAGTTTGTAGGTATCTCAAACATACAAGGAATCTAGGAATCACGTTCAGAGGGAAGGGATTTTCCGATGCTAGCTTTGCTGATTGCAAAGGATCCCTAACGACAAGTGGATTCATAGTTAGTCTGTATAGCGACCCAGTTGCCTGGAAAACACACAAACAGTCATACGTAGCTTTATCAACATGTCAGGCAGAATATGTTGCAATGAGTGAGGCTTGTCAAGAAATGGTCCCCTTACAAAACTCACTATCATTGATTCTCCCAAGTTCCTTTTTGCCCATGACTCTGTGGTGCGACAATAAAACAGCTGAAGCTAGTAATCAAGTTAGTAATAGTAATAAGCTTAGGCATATGACTAATGTTAAAGAACACTTCGTTAGAGAATGTGTAGCTAGAAACCTAGTTAGAATAAGTTGGATAGAATCAAAGGAGCAAATTGCAGACATTATGACCAAACCTCTGCCCTTTAAAACTCATGCTAGACTCACTAATATGATTATGAATAATTTTTAATTATGTTCATAGAAACAAGTAACTGAGTGGAGAAGATTGAGTTGTCTTCCATAGGAGGGAGTGTCAGAGTCGGCACGGTGCATCAACCCGATCAAATCAGAGGTCGCGTGGTGGCGACATCTAGTAAGCCATGATCACAGCTGACGGTGAGAAGTGCTTCTGCAATCACCTACCGGCTGCTGTGCTTCGGACGAGCTCTCTCTCTCTCTCTCTCTCTTGTGCTGACTCTCGAGCTACTCGGTTGTCTCCAATAAGTTTCCTTTTCTTCACGTGCAACAGTTTATCAACTCTGCGTTTTAGTTTACTTTGTTTTCATAAAAGTCTTTTCATTGTATTGTATTTACTTATAATAAGTTAGATAGAAAGCTAGAATTAAACGGTTTGTATAAGCAAGAGAAGCTAGTAAATAAAAGGGGTTGATATAATTAAATAGTGCTGAGTATTTTTATTAATTAGGAGCCCGCATCTTCCCTCACAGCTTATATAGAGAATGATAATGATTTTTATAAGACAGCACGTTAAAAGTTCAAAAATAAAATTATCATATCTCACTTTATAAGCCATAAAGGGACTTGAAATTTCAATTGAAGGTTTTTCATACACTAATTAATCTCTGTTCAAAGTGTTATCAATATATTGACTAGAATAACGATAGTCACCTTTTCAGGCCAAAGCATGGTGATCCGAACTTTGATCAATCCCTGCTCTCAAGTTTTGTCGATTCCTCGATTACTCGCCCAATTATTACAACTTAGCTGCTATAAAACTGATATTCGTCTGACTGGGCTCGCTGAAAAAATTCAAACTTTGACTAAACAGTCGGTACACTTTTCTATTAAGCAACATTTTGAGGTTGATTACTCTTTGGATGGAAGTGCCTTCAAAATCCAAAGAGTCTCCTCGTATAAGCCTCCCACTCTTTGTAGTGACGTCCAACTTCATCACTTTAAAGGTCTTGAATTAGCTGACCCTTGTTACTCGAATAACGATCCAGTAGATTTGATCCTCGATGCAACCGTTTATGCCGCTATCACAGAGGGTTTAATCGTAAAAAATGACTCCGATTACCAAAAATGTCACCTCAAAATCGTCGTTAGGATAGCAACTGTCAGGTTCCACAATTGCAATGAGACTTTGGTTACTGATATTTTGCGAAAATTTTGGCAAGTTGAAGAGGTACCTCAAAAATTGTATTTTCTAACCAGGGATGAGATAGAGTGTGAAAAACTCTTCAATAAAATTTATCCCCGTAACGAGTTGCGACGATTTATCGTGAGACGTCCTCTTAAAGGCTCTCTAGATTCTTTAC